AAACAAATATTCGATACCTTAGAAATCTAAATATATAAATATTGCAGGTGTACGGGTCGAAAAAGATTCAACAATTTTGATAGTTCAAAATAAATAGTTGGCCCAATTAAACTGGAATTTTCTAAATATAAAATAGTGCACAATTAAAATAATATGAGCATTCTACGTTAAAAAGTGAACTGAAAATGTGTAATAAAGGTTTCTCTTCTTGAAAATTGTCGCAGTACGTCTGACCATTGCTCGATATTTCTACTTGAATCGATGTTCTTAACATCGATTATGGTGTAATACGATTTTTATCCGTCCTATCGTCTTTTTATTAGTTAGTATCGGTTGAAACACTTAATATCGCGTCAGTATAGATACCTACCAACACTCAATTTAAGTAGAAATAGCTGATAATGGACAGACGCGTTCAAACTTAATCGCTCGCTTACACGATAAATTTTCAATTATCTCGAAAAGTAAGACTCGAATGAAAGAATTTTATTCTATACTTTCGATTGATCTTCTCGCGTAGAATGACTCGAACAAATTTAAAACTTACCAGAACGATAGGAAAGACGGATTATGGTGGTTGGAAATCGTTTTATTTTAGTCGCATGATCCCAGTAAGATATATTTCTCTGGAGGGTCGCAAGAAATGATGGCGGGTCGTGACACCCGGTACATCGATTATGTGGAAATACTTTTATTCCCGCCACGATGGTAGCAGAAATGCCGAGCAATCAAGCCGCGATTTTACCCCTCGAGGCATCGAAAATTAAATAAGACAAACCCATTTAGGGGAGCCGAGGGCGTCTGTTTGCGTTGACGCATCTTGATTCACTTATCGCGACCCCTTTTCACGCGTTTTTTCGCCCGAGAATTTTCTCGTCCCGCGCGTCAGGAATTTCCAGAAATAAAACCAGAGCTATTCAAACGTTTTGCAGTTACTCGAATGCTACGAATATTTTTAACACAGTCACGCGTAAACATGGAAATTTCATAGGGAGCAGAACTCGTCCCGCTAATGACGCTTCATTCTTCCCTCCATCGAACGAGGATTGATTTACGAAATAATCGTCCAAGAAATCTGCCGGTAAATCCGTGGAAGGTCGATGACGAGCAAAGCGAAGCAACCATAAAATCGTTACTACGCGAAAGTAATAGCCGACAACCCGTTTACCGACGTCCACACGCGTGTCCAATGGCATCGAGTTTGGTTTTACTTTTTTAGCGACATGCTCGAATACTACGTAAACGAAACGTTTAACGGTATAACTGGACCCTGAATAAGATGTTGCAAGGATCTGATAAAATTTGATGTTTCTGGTAAACATTTTTCTTTACCGATAAATACCTGAAGCAATCTTCCCAAACTCGTTATTTTCGCGTAATAATAGTAATATAGAATTTTCTGGTTTCGCAACGTGCAACGATCTTCTATTTTCTCGAACAATTACTTCGAAAATAAAACACGTTAATTAGCGTATTTTCACCTTGCAAGACGCGCTTCCGCCTTGAAATTTAAATATTTAGATTACGCTAGGATCTACCCTTAACGCGATTACTAAAACTTCCCGTAGGTCGACTTTGATCGTACACAATTATTTTACAAGGCATGCAATAACGTTGCGATTAGTTTTTGAAATAAATACGTATTTTAAAGAAACTATTTTAATTCGATTAGCAAAGCAAAAGGAGAGTATCGCTATCTGAGAAACAGGAAATCTCGTTTCTAACTTCTTAAGCGTGAAACCAGTTAATGGTCTAGCCGAGGTGAACAGCCTTCGAATATTGAACCGGGGAACGATTCGATTGTTCGAAAGTCCTATTTTCAAGTTCGAAGAAACGCCCTGAACGTTCTCGCGGGGTCGTCGAGCACCCTCGTGTTTCTGGGTCGCGTGGACGGGGCTCGAGACACGAGGACGACTTCGCCCGAGTCCTCGAGTGATCTTCCGTCGTTTATTTTTAGAGATACGCTGCGAAACTGATAGCACCGTGGGATGCCGGTCGCTTAATCGTTCTCGATTTCCGTCGTTTCCGTTGTTTCCTGTCGCGCGGACGGCCGTCCCGCGTGTCCCTCTTCCCCTCTTGCGTTGCCCCTCTATCGATTTCGGATATAGTCGCTTAATAAACGACGGTTACGTGCTACTAAGTTTTCCCCGCCTGGAAATGGACTCTGCCCGCGCGTCGCTTTTCTCGCGTTCCATTTTTAAAGAGCCGGCGATACCGCCGACGGGGATGCTCGACCGGCGCTCGGAAAATATTAGGATTGATCGAGCGGGTCGGGATTTAATTAACGTATAGTCGTCGACGCCACCGTCGAGCAAAAGGAGAGAACGAACGTTCCTTTTTTTACACAGGGGAAAACATAATAAGAAATCTGTTGTCTTACGGGTGGATGCTCGGGCTACGGTAATGTTCAACATCAACTTTAACGGCCCTTCCGGCGAATATCCGAGCCTAGAGGACGTGAAAAATTGAATTATCCTCGGCGGAGGTAAAACTTCTTCGTGGACATCTTTTTTCAACCCCTCTAGCGTGCTTTGGAAATATTTTTACTCGCCTTTACCCTTTTCGTAAAATATTAAATATTAATATTCTTCGACGGAGAATCACCTCCAGCGTGTCTGACTCAAATCGTTATTTCTACTTGTGGCGAAGTCCAAAGAGCAGTGCACGCGTCTTCGAGTCGATTTCCTCCTAAACGTGCTCTACAAAGCAATTTCGAACTCATTTTTGCAAGTAGAAACGTTTCTCGTCTGACCACGAATCGCTATTTCTACTTACACCGCTGTCCGATACCAATCAGTGCACGCGTTTTCAATGTTTATTTTCTCGAACTTAGAAATGTTCTAGATGTAAAATCCACCCAGTAAGATTTGCAGGATGCAATAAATATAAAAGCGTAGTCGTTTTACATTGCAATAATTATCCGATTTCACCGAGCGACCGCATATTTGTAAGCGTCAGTGTACGTATTTCGCGCAAGAATTAGCAAATTAATTGCCCGATTAAAGAAGAAATTGCCCGGCAAAGCGGGTGACGAGCGTGGCTCGTTAATTTTTTCGCAAAATGGTCGACTATTGAAACGCTAATCTCTGTGGACGACGATCGTTGCTCGAGCGAGTTAGAAGGCGCGACGGTCGCAAAACCTCGCGCGGAATCGCCATTCAGAAGCATAGTCGAAATTAAGGCGAAGACGCGAAAGCGGCCACTCTCGAGCGTCGTTTGCCACGAAGCGACGCCGAGGAACCGGCTTTCACGAATCTTTTTCTCTCTCCTCTGTTGGCCTCTTAAGCGTATTTCGTCGTAAATTTTTCATTCGGCGAACCCACCCTCTAGCTGTTCCTCGCATTGCTCTATTCAGCGCCGTTTAAAAACCCACTCGAAGACCGCGCGGCAAAGATTCAGCTCGGGTCGTTGCGGAAACAGAAATTCGCCCCCAAAGCGCTCGAAATTAAAGTTTTTACCCCGGCGCGTAGGATTTGGGTTGGATCAAACGTGCTATTTATTTAAAATGCTCGCGATAGCGACTCGAAAAAACTTGGATGTGAAATTAAAGTTTAAACGCGCCCGTACCAGGAACTACTTTTCCGTGGTTTATCGGAGATTTCTGAACTGTCTATAATTTTTAACTCTTAGTCAGGAAGATACGTCTATAAACTTAAAATCCGATGTTTGAAACTTTTGCAATTAAAACAGATCGTTGCTTAACAAGGATAATCGCCGTGGAAATGCGATACTTTATCAAGGCGGGCGCGAACGCGTTGGGTAAATTGTCGCAGCAAGTGGTCACCGATGTTAACTACTTTAGTGGACATTTTCCAGGTGGTTAGCCGAGCTAGCCACCGTGCAGCAAAGAGTTAACGTCGTTAAGCCCGACGACACGCCTAATCGTGCTATGTAATCGAAATTACAGAGTCGATGACGTCGACGACTGAAACTTGCCGTTGCCGGGGCGATGCTCCCTTTCGATTTGCCGAACGCTTTCGTGAATCAAAGGCGGAATACGTAAACGCTAGACGAGGATCCGCGGGGCTGCGGACAATCGGCACAGCTACGATCGAACGGATCCTCGGTAGCCATTTTCCCTTTGCGTCTCCACGGACTCAACTATAATTAACAAGAGTCGCATTACCGCCCGATGATAGAGACGGCTCCTTCCACGCTTCGAGCATCCTTTGCCCTCGAAATTGGATTTGCTTCCGCGCCCGATGGGGGTTGGACTCCTTGGTTCTGTTGTTATCGGGATTCCAGATCGTTGTCGGGCGAGTCTTTAAATTCCATTTCCAAATAACGAATCAAAATTTAACTATATTCTGGTCTAGGAATGTAGAGAACTTGAGTTGATTAAGAATCGCAGAACGAGTCTCATAAATCTTCAGGATCGTACAAGAACTCGAGGGTCGTAACAGAATTCTACTTTTTAACGTTCGTTAATTTCGTTGTTCGTGGGTAAAATTTACCCGACTCCGGTTACCAACGAGTCGAGATGTTAAAAACTTGTCGAGCAAATTCCGGGGAATAAATTCTCCCTGAAACACGACGATTCGATCGCAAGAAGAGGCGGATCAACTTTGGCGATTCGTTTCAGGCGTGGAGTAATATTTCCTATCGGGTACATATTATTTTCACGTTTCATCTGGAGCGCAGAGAGCGAGAAATAACGCGAGAAGGAGGGGTAGATACAATGCGACGCATCGCGAGCAACGATGATAAAGAACTGGACGAGTTGTCTCGCGTTTTAATTGGCAGGCGTAATGGAATATAACGCGCCGTGCGGATTCTCCGCTGCAACTCGGGCTGCATTCACCGCTTGGACCGTCACTCGGGGCTCGCATTATTGCACGCGCGACTCGAATCGTTAATTATCGCCGCTCGGCTCGGCTCGGCTCCATTCGATTGGCCATGCTCCCGTCCTCCGGTTTCCCAGACCCCGGGTGTCGTCGTCGCAACGTCGAATGCATTCGTCGTCGCGCGTTAACGCAAAACTTGTTTCTGTGATATTTCAGAGAACCGACGCGCCTCTGTCCCTGAGCGCTAGATTCGATACCGAGAAAAAGTGAATCGACCCCGAAAGAGGACCAGCGCCGAACCTGGTACAGAAAAAAGGAAGAAAAACCCGAGGAAAGACTTTGCTTCGGGGACTCTCGAAATCGAAATTATTGTCGACTTGAATTTGTATATTTTTTGGGAGTCCCGAACCAAGAAGAAACTCGTGACTCAAGACATCTTGTTCTTTTAAATTGCACGAGATTCTGAGGTATCGAGAGTGCGTGGGACCCAAGCAGTCGACGGAGTGACGCGAGGAAACGCGTTCTTTAATTGATCGTCGCGATTAACGAGTTCCGCGGGTCGATGGAACTGCGACAGAGAAACGGAGAGGATCGTTTCGCTAACCGGTGAACGTGCGTGTTTTCGGGTAACTCGTGGACAAATCGAACGAAAATAATCGCGAAACCGTCGACGAGCACGATGCTGGCGTGCGTTTATCCGGCGGAGAGCTTCAACAAGTCGAAAACCGTGACGGTGAAGCTCCGTCACGGACGATCGAGGCGGAAGCCGAAGAAGCTCCTATCGGTGAAGGAGAGACCGACGGACGGCAAGGAGCAGGAATGCAACGAGAACGCTAAGCTCGAGAACGAGGTAAGACCCTTTATTTTCCAGCGTTTCCGTCGCGGAAAATCACGACGGGGCGCGAGAAACGGGGACGACGTTCGTCGTTTGCCGTCGCGGGAAATTAACGTCGCGACGCGATCGGAAAATGGCGGCATTCTTCGTCCGAAAGTACATCGAGAATATAGGTGGAATTTTCTGACAGAATCGTTCGAGATAATTAATTTTGAGACCGCATACGTTTAGAAAAGATTGCGCAAATAAGTTGGCGTTTCGAGCAGGTTTTAACGGCGAGCTCGTCAGTGTGGCTGACTCAGCAAACCTTGCCTTAGACGAGTCTAGAATTTAACTCGGTTGAAGTCAACATACATCTCCGTCTAAGGCAAACTCTGCTGGTTCGGCCTTAATGATCGGTCTATCAGCAAAATCTAGTCGGAACGCGGTATATTTGCGCTTGAATTTATATTCCGAAACCAGGAACGAAAAATTTCTACGTATTACTTCGTGTCTGTCTTCTATTCTGGTGAATTAGTGCTCAGTAACGAGCAGTAATTTCCAGTTTATTTTATGTGGTATAATGTATACGTACATTGTAAGATTTTTACAATATTTTGTACCGTATTTGGTATTTGCGTCGTGGTTCGAAGACAGTCGCCGAATGTATCCCGAATCGTCTGACTTCGCGGAAAGAATCCTATAAAGTCAAGAGTTATACAGAGCAATTGAAGACAAGATATTTTTGTATCTTTGACCTCCTCCGAGCGAAGAAACGACTCTGTATCCGCTGCACGATCGTTAAAGATAGCCGAACAAGTCGCGAATTCGACGAATCGCGAATACAATGTGCGTTCTAAACCGTAAAACATTGATGACATAAAATCGCTGAAAGACGCGAGATATTAAAAAGCGTCGGTTACGAAGATATAAAACGTGTGTCGTGAATCTCGAAAAAATTCGTTTTCGATCACGGAAACCTCGGGGATCGTCGGCAACATTTTTCGACACCCTGTTGAGCTTTCGAGACGCGCCTCGAGTTCGTTAGTTATTCTCGATAAAACGTTGAAACAACTGTAAGGCGAGGGAAATGCGTCATAGCCGAGCGTAACTGCGTCGAATAGAGTTCGCGGAGTAAATAATAGTTACTGCCGCTTAAACTGTCGCGAGATAACTTTGTAAGGCGCACGGAGGGACTGGGATTGCCCTGTAGGGATTATTTCGATGAAATTCCCTCGGTATTTATGCGTTTCCTTGGGGAAAGTGTCCCTCTCGTAACCGTCTCCTACGAATTTCCTTAATTACCACTACTCGGAATTACCGTGTCTGGCTCCTCCAGAATTACGCACCGTCTATTACCGATAGGAACACCGTGCTTTATCGCCGAACGTAAAATCCTCGCTAGAGGGGTCCGAGGAACAATTAAAAACGCTCGTTTTCGCCCTCTTCTTCTCGAATCAGCTTCCCTGGAGAACCGACTCGAACGATCTGTACGCGACAACTGAATTATTTATTAAAAACAGTACTACCATAGACATTAATGGCAACAATGCACAAATTTATTATTTTCTTTCGTTTCAAAAATGCCCAGAACGTTCCGGTAGATAGTATTTTTATGCATGCTTTGCTGGACGTATCTAAATGAATCAGACGTCTTAAAATCTTGGTGGCGCCAGGCACACTCTAAACTAAAACGAGCACTTAACGAGAAGTTTTAGAACCGCTGTCCTGAACTACGGAAAAATGCAAAAATATCGATATTTTTTAAAGCGTAGAATATCTTCTTTAAAAGAGAAACTGTGAACGCTTGAATTTTGCTTTCAAATTTCTATAGACAGAAGTTACGAAAATCACGCTCGTCGGGGTTAATCGTAGGATCCCAAAGGACTTTCGTTAGGCTACGGGATTCCCGTTTAACCCGACCTGGAACGAGAAAGGTCAGTATGCCGCTCGTTTCGATGGACTTAGCAGCCTGATGACCATCCGATTACGTGTCTACCATTTCCGCTTGCGTTTCGACTGAAAATCCTCGACCCTACCAAATAAAATCGATTCTAAATTAAATATCGTAATAAAATATATTTAATTGTGAATCGATTTTTTAAGGATGACTTAAGAAACAAGCGTCATCGGTAAACAAATGGCTCTGAAGTCACAGTTAACCTCCACTTACATTTGCTACTCTGTTTGGATAGTTATAAAATTATTTTTGTTCGTTCAGCTTGTAAGTTATTCGAGACAAATAAAGCGCGCAACGTCACGGTGCGTTCCGCGCTCTAACAATCGCGCCATACGAAACAGAACTCCTGAAACTCATACAATATGGATTACCGACTGAATGGAACCGATCGCGACTGTAATCCTATTTCAACGCCGAGTGAATAGAAAACTGGCGACTATAATCCTATTTTAAATCGCCTTAACAGATATGTATCGTCGAATATCTTGCTATAAGCCTGCTGCATATTCGCCGTCCTCCTCTTATCCCCGCCATTGGTATATCGCCGTCGCGATCGGCTTTGATTTTATTATTTAACGTTTATTAACGGTTTTCATCAACGCGATATTAACATTACCCGAGGTTAATTAGTTCTGACGGCCGATTCGTAGATCATCCACGCGTGCGTTGATTCGTTCCCCGTAAAGGACGAATCTAGTTAACTTCGAACGTTATTTCTCTCTTTAATATCCGGTCGTTTCCCGGCGCACGGGCACGCGAGCGAATAAATAAACAATTACAGGGGTAGCGGGATTTAAGCGACTGCTCGGAATGCGGTAGCTGCGAGGAATGCAATATCGAATGTCGCAAGAAACGGCAAGAAATTCGCGCGCGGGTTCGAGAATTATGGGAACACTGGGGTTCCCCTGAAAAGGGTCGCGCGACTGAAAATTCTTTACGAGCTGAATTTCGGGGAACGGGAATTTTTCCTTCGTTACACCGGATCCTTTCATAACATGTGATACCTACTTCGACGGTGGACAGAGGCCTTAAAAATAATGAAAAAGGTACCTATAAACGTTCCTCTTATTTCATCCTGTTCCAGACTCATAAGGGCGCTTGCAATTCGTAACGAACATGGGCCCCGTCACGATACATTTTACTCTAGTTCTTTTATTAATCGTATTTTATGTATTTACGCTAGTTTAATATAGCAAAATATACGAAAAAGTTTGATTAGAAAATTAATTGATAAATGAAATTGCAGACTGTGATTGTACGCGGTAATCAAGAAACGTGATTAATAGCCAGAATGTTATTAATTCTGACACGATTATCATGTTTCGTGCAACTACAAATTTCGTCAATATATATTATCACTATTATATATCATTAACTTCGCTATTATTCTGCAAACGGCCATTAAAAAGTTAGCGTCTACTTGTTAAAAATGAATCACTTTATCAGTTGAATTAGTATCACGATCTAGTATTTTTGTTAACATAATGAATTTACAAAAAAGGAAAACGACATGAAATTTATTCTGACAACGCTTTCATAAAGTTTCTTCGGACGAAACGTTGAAGAGGAAAACGATTTATGATGCACTTGGCAACGCGTTAATATGTTTAGAAAATTGGACGAATGCAAAAGGTCTTTGCGCGAAAATGTAATTGCGGCAATTAGCCTGTTTTTAAATTTTATTCGAGAAAAGAGTTACTTGATGCATCGTCCCTTATAAATAAAACAATAATGAAAGTTTTAACGCGCTTAAGAAGAAGAGAACCGCAACGTTAGATGATCCAAAATGGTCGTGTCTCTTTCGAAGCCACTCTGAACTAATTTTCGGGTCGAGTTCCTTCGAAAATACTTTCCTTGACCACTCGACTTTTCGGTATAGTTTACAGCCAGCATTTCTGCCATCACCAGTCTCACGAAAAGCCTGAGACAACGGAACACTCATCGTTGGATGCGTTTAATCACCTCCACACACTAAAAAAAATGGAACAGTACCGCGCGGCGCTACTGTATAAAAATACGATCTCTCCTGTCGAGAAATTATACGCCGTGAAGCGTAACGATCTCGAGAAGATTTGAAACGTAAAATCCTCGGGTTAAGAAACGGGACATAAAACCCGAAGGAATAAAATGCCGTACGTTACCGCGTAGAATCCTTCGAGTTCAGTCGAATTGGACAAAACAATTGGGCATAATATTTCCAAGAAGGACATAAAAGATTACAAAAATGTAATCGGCGATGGAATTTAAAAATGCTTTATACTCTCAGATACATATTTCACGTATAGAGTCTGTTTCCTAGGCTAATACCGAACGGAACTAATCCTTTATCGTTAAACGATCCTTTTCAGAAGATAATAAAGTATTTTTCATGGTTTAATCAACTTTTATATCCCGCTGTTATTTGGTCTACAAAGTTTCAAAATAAACGGCGATTCGTTGATGAGCATCGAGTTGAATTTTTTAACACGCTTCCTGAAGGAGTTATTCGACGCGAAGTAAAAATAGCCCGAAGGTATTTAATACGAATCATAATTTGAAAAATAGATTACGAAGCAGGTGTTTCGGGTCCCGGGAAGTCTGAATCGAACACGGTTCGTTGGCAAAAAATCCACCCTCGCGTAAAAAATGTAATTTTTCTCCTGCAAAATCTTCCCCGAGGAAGAAGCGAAATTATTCAAAGGGAAGCGCAAAGAGCACGACAGATTTAACGCAGATCGTCAGGTTACGAGACGGGGGATAAAATAAAAGTTTCCAGGCCCTTTCGTACGCGAATCCCTCGGTTCGAAAGTTGGAAAGGTTACATTAATAAAGATAACAAGCACCGAATAAGTACGAAAGTTTTGTCGTTTGGACGATTACCGATTCGTCTTGCTTCTTCGTCGATAAATTGCAACGGGTAACTTTCGATAGTACTTGTTATCTCTGTCGCTAACAATACCTGGGGAACATTTAGTTAAACAAATGAGAGTATCGAAGACTTCTTTTATACGATGTTAACCTTGTTTACAATTTCTCGAGAAGCGAACTGAAAATTTCAGTATTTCCTATTCTTCCTCGCAAGTTATTTACTTAATATTATACCAAGCATTCGATGGAAAAGAATTTGAAAAGAAATTAAATTAAATAGCTTGATATGGGGTCGAGTCTCGATGAGCTTTTCGCGCGAGCTATCGACGCAGCTTTCGAGTATATGTTTCGCGTCGAGAAACGGAAGCCCACAAAGTGTCCGGACGTTTCCTCGAGGGATACTCAGCAGACGTGTGTGCTGGAGACCGAGCCAATTAATATTTTACCCTCAACGAAAAGCCGTGGAGCCGCATACGAACGTCTCCTGAGGAGACCTACTGCCGTGGAAGTTGGACGGAGTCTTGAGGACTACGGGCAAAGGGTCGCGATAAAACCAGCCGTTGTGAATGATAAATTTCGAGGCTGCCTCCGGGGGTCGTGCAGCACGACATTCGAAACTGGCGCCCTGGGGAAGCTTCGAGATTAATTTCCACGCCCAACGAAATGATAAGCACACCCGGGTGTATACGAGTTTCGACTAGGAACGATTAGAAACGAGCGACGTACGCTCTCAGGCCCGCCGTTATCTGGCTTTATCGTCACGCAGGGGGGCCAGAATTCATTCGCTGGCGGTACAAAAACGATTGGTTTCGGTAATAACTCGGAAAAAATTAACCCTTTGAAACCATAGGTGATAGGACTTTTCACTGTGGAGCTGAAAAATTCATTCTCAAAATGTGACGCGTTAGGATAGGACATTTCGACATGTTTTAATTATTTAAGAATAAAATATCGTCGCGTTAAAACTTCTTTCACGAAAGCTTCGTCTATCGATGATTTCCATAATTAAGAGGAACAAACGAATGAATTTGTCCGATTCGTCGGGGAAAAATTTTATTTCCCGCCGAACCACCGCGATCGTTCGTTAACACGCGAGAGAACCGTTCGTTAAGGAGTGCGCGTAGGAGAGATTGAAATTTTAATGGAGTCCAAGCGCATGCTGAATCCAATTTCTTCAATCCGTGCTCCGGGGGACGTTTAATTACGAAATCGTAGCTACGCGACCGGGGAAACGGTTGAACGAGCGCGGTCGCAATAAAAGCTTAATAGATCGCAATGAAACGTTGATAGTCCTGGATCCTTTGCCAGAAGACCACCGACTCGACGCCGCTTCGATCCTAAACAAAGAACGAGCGCAGTCGATGGCTCCACCGTCTAGCAAATACTCTTTCGAAATGTACTGGTCTCGACATTTGTATTTTTGCAAATATCCTGACGTACAAAGTCGGTGCCAGAACAATCTAATTAATTTTATGTTCACGTGAAAATAGCTCTTTTCGTAATGGCGAGTTGACCATTGTTTCTTCGACTATTTAATTTTAGAAAATGGATCGTTACAGAGAGTAAACGAGTCAGGGATCGCACGATTACGCGTTTTCTCCGCGTCCGGGGAGACTTTGTCCGCCTGTGCAGCGATACGCGAGCATCCGTCGTTCGACGAGTTTTCGTTGACGTACGAAGGTTACCCGGGAGTCCTTGTCGCTGTGGAATTCGAAGGGCCAGGTCGTCCTTGGGATTCTACTTGGTATCGGCGGCCGGTCCTCTCCAGATGGTGCACGAGGTCAAGCAAAAAGAACTGCGAACGCTCTCGCGGTACACGTCCGTCCGTCCTCCGGGCTCCGGGCTCCGGGCTCCGGACCTACCACTGTTCGTCTCGCTTTTTATTTTCCGCTGCGTTACACCTATCCCCGGACCAGTCCCGCCGACCGTGCCTTCCGTTTTTCGATTTATTTCTGCTGGGGAGTAGCAAAATCGCGTAATCCGCCGCGCTTCGTTCGCTGCTCCCGCCAACGTTTCCAGCTCTCTGTTGCGAAATGGCAGCCTGACATTTAGAATACTCGGCCTCCCGCGACAACCGTTACGGTACGATTTTATTGTGCAGCCTCGATCGCGCCGCTGCATTGTTGGCGAGGAATCTGTGCGTGGGAGGTCCGATCGACCACTTTGTTTGGACAACGTCTACGGAAGACGGAAAGATCGGCCCTCTGACTGCCACGCGAGACCCTCGAGGGGAGCCTCAAAAGCCACCTCAAACGCCCTTAAAAACGAATTTTGTTTCAAGTCGATAGCGTAGTTAATTCTGGAAAATTTGGTGTAATAATTGTGCAAATATCCTGTATACAAATTTAAATTCATTTTCAATTAAATATGAAATTTGTAATCCAGTTTCATCGCACACCAGTCGTATAATCCATAGGAATTGTTGAAACTTCTTTGGGCGCATAGTGTTAAAGTAAATTGCAAAATAAACATAGAAGACAGCATAAAATATAGTAGTTGGTATAGTCATTGGATAGAGGATGAAATATCCTTTAAAATGAGCGTTCGAACAAGTCGATAGCGTTATTAGTTCCGGAGATATAGCGATTTTAATTTCAAGTCGATGCGGTGGCTAGTTTCGGAGATATAAGGATCCGAAGCGTTTGTTTACGTTTCATTGACTCGAGTTGAATGAACTCAGTGCGTAGTAAATTCTTGGAAATACTACGACTTCCGCGTCACGCGACTGTCTCGACTCACGCACGAGAGAGAGGTCCAACGCGACGCGTCAGACGGAGACAGAGATAGTCGAATTAAGAAAAATACCCTTTTACATAAATTACGATATCTCGAAAACGGGAAGTCGGATCGACAAAAACCAAAAACCGTTTTAAAGGGGAAGCCCTGCCGCTTCTAACAATGCCTCAATTATTAATAAAACACCAGCAGTTTTAAAACTGTACGCATCTAAAGTTTAACTATTTTTAATACGCGTTCTTAGACTGTTCCAAGTGGAAACAAGATTCTCTCCTTTCATCATTTCCTATTTACATCGGAACCTAAGCAGAATTTGATACCACATTTTGTCTGGTTTTTTATAAACAAATGACCGATCGTGGTAGGATCTTTCACGAGGATCCAGAGAAACAAAGCCCTGAGGAGCATTAACGCATAGTCATTGGCGACTCGTTTTTCTGACGTACTGTTAATTTTGTTTCAGTTACCAGTGGGCGGGGGTGGTGCTGTGCTGGTGCTCAGCGAACTTGAAAGCATGGCGGCCAGGCAACAGCGGGAAATTGCCCAGCAGAGGCGCCTCCTGGAGCAGAGAGAGGCCCGTCTAGCCGTGCTTCGAGGCGCACAGGTAAGAACTGCTTCGTTCCCGACTGGTACCGGGGCTATTCAAATCGTTTAACGTGTTCAACGCGTGGGTTTTTTTCGTTGACTTTAATGTTGCAGTACTGGTCAATTAAACCCTGTACTAGAGTTTCATATCTCGTCTTAGCGTCTAACGAAGCCATATATGCCCGTTGGCGAACGTGTTAATATTCAAACATTTTATAGGTATTTGAAAGTGTGCGAATAAACTTTGAATATTATCATTCGAATAAGAAAATATTCATATATGCACTATTTAATGCCGGATACCGACGACGCGTTTAAATGCTGCTCGTTGATGGTTAGTGGAATCGGTGCTTCCTCGAAGATGGTCTCAGTAATCTGTATATGTACAGGGCAAAAATTAGTAATATTAAGTTATACCATTATTCGGATCTTAAAATAATTATTTACACCAAGCGTACGTAATCTGATTTAATATTTTAAAGGTGTACTTCTAAAGAAATAAATATTTTCGAATTATATTCGCTGAATATTTATACCATCGAGTGGCATAAATAGGTGACCGAATATTCGAGTAAGAAAAAATTCGACACGGAATTTCAGCTCTGTTCTCTACTCGCTTAAGTGCGGAAATCGTTCTGGAAATTGCTCGACCAAGCAACCGTAATGTCCCTTGATCTTGCTGGGTTCCCGATGCGTTCGCCTTCCGCTCGCCGACGAGCCTGATTTCCGCTGCGACTCGACCATCGAGACGCGTCGCGTCTTTCCACTCGAGTTGCTCCTTCCTAGACCTCGCGATAGCAATGAAGAATCGAATTAACTTTATGCAGAGCAATAAAGGTATTCGAGTGCTGCAGAGATTCCCGGGGCAGCAGTTAAAACTGTTAGATGCTGCTGGTTATGTCCTTTCGAAGAATAATACCGACTATAGCTGATCGACATCGAGGATTCGAGGACGCGTAAAATGGCAGTCGAATCGATTTTGGGCTGAAAATAATTTGGATAAATTAAGTCTAATTAGAATTATTGATCGTTTTGGAGCCGGATGCGGGGAACTGGGTCAGTGTCGTTTGAAAAGATAAATAATTAGTGGCTCCTCCCACAACTCTTCGATAAATGCCTTTAAAAAATTAATGGACGCATCAGGCCTTGAAAACTCAGACTAGTGTTTATGGTATATTTCTTACAAGACCAAAGATTGCGTAAACTTCTCTGTTTCTCAGCTGCCGTCAATTTGTGCAAATTGCGGCACTTCCCTAGCAATCTCTACAATGGGTAAATTAATTGCTTATTGTTATGTTCCCGCCAGTTCCGTATAGCGAGGCAATTATTCGCTCAGCAACAGAATTTATTGAATAATATTTGATACAGACTCTCTGGTTGCGAACCCACATAAATTTCCATATTCACTGTGTACCAGGTTCTAGGTCAATCGATAAAACAATTTTTACACCAATTTTATCGAAGCAGCATCGTGCTAACGATCGTCGCACGTACAGAAAAAGTACAAACAAACGCTAACTACAAACGAGATAAATACCGTTCATAGTTTTAGATGTAGAAAAAAATACAATCGAAATTTTCTTTCGATACCGCCGTTCCTTCGTAGTATTTTGTATCCGTTAAAAATACGATCCATAATAGGAATCGTCCAAATGGAGATAGCGGAATCGATGTTTGTTTTATCCCCCACGAATGGACCAAACGCCACACTCGCGATGTTTATGTTTATGTGCCGCGTATGTGCGCGAAAAAAAAAGATTTATTTAACGGAAATCGATAGCAGGGCCTGCAATTTACAAGCCACGCAATAATTTCGCTCCGCCATTGCAACTAACCGACGACCTAAAGCCTCGTTGACATTAAAAAACAAGCATTTATAGCGAAATATGCTTTGCTTCGATGTCGGTATTAAGATATTGCCTATAGAGAACCTTAATAGAAGTTGAAATATTTAAGATAAAATCAACATAGAATGTTGAAGAGCGGTAAGATAACGCTTGCACTTTTAAAAGCATTCACAAGTCCTGACATTCTCCATTTTCCTTATCGAACGAGCTTGTAAACGTTCCCTCGTCCCCGAGCCTCAAAAACCTTAATTAAACCCTAATGTTGTGTGCGTGCGTGTACGACGATGAGTAAGGGCAGTGAAAAGAGAGAATGGCGACAAAAGAAAATGCGGTGTAAGCAAGCTTTGGGTACGCGATAGGCTAATTGGCAAATAGAAAAAGAGAGATAATGAGAAAGCGCGAGTCGACGACGAGCAGGCCGCAATCGGTGATCGGATTAGACAGGATTACGAGTCGAACAGGTGTGGAAATTGTATCGTAAGGGAGCATTTTCAAGTCGATAAATAACAGACTTTAAAAAAGAATAATAGTGACTTCTAATGTTGGATTAAGGTTCACCCAGCTCGCCTCCGCTCTAAACGTTCTCGATACTAAAGATTGACCTATCACGGCCGATATAAAAGCTCGAAACGATCCCGACTTTCGTCGTCCATATTGTTCGACAGTATTTCAGGAACCCTCGCGAGGACTCGACTTCCGTTCAACAAGAATCAGAAAGCCCTCGTCATGAATAATTCAATGTAATGATAGACTCGCGGACAGTTTATGCCTATTATCGGCCGGATAACTGTCGGTTCCCTTCGGCATCGACATCCTGGCGGCGATCTTCGTTGCAGGATAGAAATGGCCACCGGCGTAGTTCTCTCGGTGGCATCGACGAGGCAATTTAGACCGAGGGACACCGAGGGGTTTCTTCGTGACATCGCCAGAGTTTCCTGACCGAATCTCAGACTCTTGAAATTCGAATGCGCGCGTGACACGACCTCCAAACAGGACGATCGAGAACGACCGTTTCTGGTATTCGATGGAAAAACAAAATTATTACGTGACAACTTTGACCATTCGACTCCTGGTTTTTATTTTTTAAAGAGAATCTTAATTTTACGAGATAGAAATTATTCGAATATCACGAAGCTCTTCTACTTGTTCGCGTGGAATGACTCTCGTTCTCGATTCGCGACTCCCAACAGCGAACCTCGTAAACGAACAGCTGGTATTACGGCGAATCGTAAGACAACGGTGGATTTCTAGTTCCGTAGTCATCGCGACGAGGGAAAAAATTCGAAGACCCAGGTGTTCGACGTCCGCCGAATGGCGAGTCGAATCGCACGGCACCGTCATTGATAAATTTGCTACGCGTCATTTCCCTTCCGCGTGGCGCGCGAAAATCAGTGCCAAAGGTGTTCTACTCGCGCTCGAGAAGAGAAAAAAAAGAATCGCGCCAAGCCACTCCGTGTGTGCCTACCGTTAGGTTGACCTTGCCAGCCGTGACCTTGACCTTGAACGAGGGAACCAGTCGGAGAGAAACATCTTCTGCGCCGTGAATCGCGGGATATCGATGGCGAGCGACCATTATGGCGCGAAATAAAGCCCTATTGCGGGGAATGGACGTCCATTGTCCGGTTTAACGCAAAGACGAAGCGGATATAAAGAAGTGAAATATGAGATCGTCGCGCGAATTGATATACGGCTGGTTGAACCGCGAAAAGTCCCATTAAAAGTTATGGCCGGGCTGTCGTTTAGAAATTGCAATTTAAGAATAAATATGCCCCGTTCGATATTTAAGTTACGATCCTTATTGACTACGTATTATCGATTAGGAATAACCTCCCCAAAAATGGAGTATTTTCTTGAGAGTTTCCTGGGAATTGGTACCGAAAATCGCGAAGCTACAGTCCTAGTAGATCTTCCCAACACCTTCGGAAGGTGTCTCGGTGACAACAGGGAGTTCCTCGCAATTAATTCGTTCGAATTCGATGATCGCGTCCCGATCACGATGACTCTCGACGAGAGCCGTGGGTGCAGAACGCCTGGGGGCGTTCGAAATCAGCGATTAAACGCGATTTAAATCGAGCCGCCCACTCGATTCAATCAGCTTGCACCCTTTCACGAGCTAGTTAAGCACGTAACGCGGGATACTAACGGCGGATTCTTCTCGAAGACGACGACGACGCGCGTGTGCAGGCTTCTTGTCTCGCGTACTTGCCTCTTGACGAGCGTGTCGAGGATCACCCGGGTAACGAGCCAAGTGTCTCTTCTTCTACGAGATTAACGAGATTAAACGCGACTGCGATACCACCCCCTCGCGACTTCGTAATCTCGCGCCGGCTGATACGAGTCGCTGATCGCTTTACTCGCGAGCACGGAGGCGATTTTAACGCGTCATTGCGCCACCGTGGGTAAGCTGATGCGATTTAAATGAAATCCTGGAGGAACTGGTTATAGTCAATTCGGCGTGTACGCTGGCGCTCGATAGGAAGGATCGCTAATTAATCGATTACGTTTTTACGCGAACCGGAGGCTCTCCGCGATCGAAAATGGAAAAGAACGTCCGGCGGTTGCTCCTCGGGATCGCTCGCTTCCTTCTCGTTCGTTTTGCTTCCTGTATCTGAACGGCTAAGCGCGGTCATTATCGTCGAGTAACGCTGCAAGTTACCGAGATGTCCGACAACACGCAGGGGATCGAAACTGTCGCGACTGGCGATCGAAGTAACAGCGTAAGTGACACTATCTTTTTCGAAACGATTAACACGATATCTCGAGTTCTTCCTTTTAAATTAAACGACGTTCCGATAGCTGGCACGATCACTTGCTTTGTATCTTACTTTTTGGAGTCGAAAGATCATCGACAACGACGAATCGTTAAAGTCTCGATATTTAAAAATCTAAAATTTTATTAAAAGGAACCCCTAAAATCGAGCATGGACTTGCTCTAGCCCGCCTTCTAGCGTGCATCTGGAACTCCTATCGATTGCAGGTCGAGAGCGTTATCGAGATACTCCCGGCTCAGCGTTCTCAAAGCCTCACGTTTCTGTTTCCTTTTTCGTTCGTAAAGGCCACCGGAGCGTATCTGCCCCGGAGATAAGGAGGTCCGTTTCAGCGAGACCAAAAAGCGCGGATGTATGCTCAGACACGTGTCGCGCGGGAGAGCCGTCGTCAGGCACCGAGGTTTTCATTCCCGGCTCGCGAACGATTCGGAGTAATAGGGGATCCTGCGACAGGACTCAGGCGGGATTTCCGGAGGACTTGAAAGCCTTAATCCCCGCCGACTCTATCCTCGGGAACGGGCACGACGAACTCGATACCGCCCAAGATGGAACCTTTTATACGGTTCTCGGCTGATCTTCCATCCGCTTGGCTCTCCCGGCGAGCGGAGGCGGCTTTCGGCTCTAAGCCCAGGGGGACTTTTTAACGGCCGACAATGTACGCCCGCGGAAACCAAGGGCCAATCTTATTTTCCGCGAATGAAAGGCCGCTGGTAATTTCGGTGGCTGCGCCTACGGGATTACTCGGACGCCTCGGTCTCGCGACGACTAAATTCCGCTTCGTTTCCGCGGCGGTCGTTCCAGCCGCGTTCTGGATTCTAGGACAGTGGACTCCGACGTTCCCGTCATTAACGAACGGATTACGTGACGACGACGAGCAAAACTGGCCGCGTCGCACGAGCCAAATATGCCCGCGTATCTCGGGATCGTGATATTACAAATTACGAAATTGTCCCGGTCCACGTGGAGCTAATTAACGACGTCGCTAATAACCTCAAAGCACGCGCGAAAGTACGTCTCTTTGTCGACTATCTCAGCGGATAAAACTTAACCATTATAATGGAACACCTGCAAGATCAAGCATTTAGATCGAGGTTAAAATTGTTCGTGTGTTTTAGTTTCAAGAGAAAGGAAGCGTCGTATAGAAACCATCAAACGTGCCAAACTCCATTTATTCAAGAAAAAAATAGTCCACAGTGTGTCATTCGCATTTTCACCCTGTATATTTCGCGATAGGAACGTTTTTGTTATTTTGCCTCAAACGCGAAACGTCCTTATCGTTAGACTGCATTGGCCGTGGCGTTCCATCGCGTTCGCCATATTCACCGATCAATTGTTTACTGTTTCAGGAGCCAGCACAGCAGGACAAACTCGCCAGATTGAGGCACAGGCTAGACCAACAACAGAGCAAGCTGAATCGGCTGCGATTGCTCCGATCGCAGACCGATCAGTCGCGCGCCAACAACGCCACGCTGAGTAAGTCGATTAATAGAACTTTTTCACTCGTGACCCGTTGGGGTGAGTCGTTTCCTATCTCTGATAAAACGATGGACGGTAAATCGACTCAATTTGTCGCGAAAAATTTGTTTTCGTAAATTTTTCGATACGAAATACCTTCTCCTCGAAGCTTTCGATCGTAAAGACTCGGCATTATCAGGCTGCTGAGTCGGCGAGAAACGCAATTTTGCTGTTTCCGGAATGTATGTTTGGATGGTTATCCTCCCGAAGTATCCAATCTATAACCACTTTTCTACTATACGGAGGGTAAGGGCCCCCTTTCGTATAATTAAATCGTTCGAAGCTCCTTCGCTGGAATTTAAATAATTCGAAACACGAAGTTATCGAATCGACGGAAATATTTTTTCGACGCTTGCTCGAACCGTTGCCGAGCATAACGATAAATTCCAGTCGCGTTAATTTTCGAGTTTGTTTCTGGCCATCCTTTTTCGTTTTCTGGTCCACTTCGTCAAGATTCCGCGCCAGCGAGTCGCGACGATGAATCCGAGCGTGTACCAGGGCTATGGAACTGTAATGTCGTTCCGGCGGGACAGCGTGCCTATAAAATGGACGATGATAAACCTCGTTAATCCAATTCGTCGGAGTCCGGGCGTTCCGGCATATTGCGTTCGAAAGCGAAAGTTCGATCCCCGTTGCGGCTGACACGATCGCGGTGCCAAGAAAATAGCGGACGACGCGCGGAACAAAGAGGAATTCTCGTCTCTGGAACCCTTTTAGCACCGAGTATCGCGAATATCAATATGGCGTCGGGTCAGAGGGAGAGGGGAATCGAGAAGCCCCGGTATCTCGACAACGTTCGAGTACCGCGTTTACCGAATCCCTCTTTTCGCCGTGAACAAGAGAGGAGACCAGATCGAACGAGATAGACGAGTTTCCCGTAATTTCCACACGGATTGGACGCCTCGTAAAAGGATATCGAACGAGCACGAGCGCGCGGAATATCGAATTGAATAAAGATTTCGCGAACAGAATGGGTCCCATCAATGTCGACGTTCCTCTTAAGACTTCGGATTGAGATGATACATCGGCCTATTTGCGACCCTTTTGGTTCGATCCTGGAAAACGTTCCCCGGTGATTGGTTTCGACGTGGCGTGCCCGACGATCGTAAACATTTATTTCAGAAAATTTCTATCGGGAATAAATTCCAATAGCATTGGTAAATAACGTTCGGTCTTTTTCTTTGGCGTGAAAATCTAATCGAATAAAATTTTGTTCAATTCAGATCAGTTGCAACCGCAGACGAGGTATACCTTTCCTCTCCTACAATAGTGACTATATTTCAATGAATCTTTTTTCTGAAGTAGAGCTCACGAGTACCTACAAAAAAGTATTAAACAACTTTTCGAAAAACGAATTTTTAAGAAAAATCGACAGGGGTGTAGTGCTATATTTTTTCGCCGAAAAAAAATATTTCAAGTCGTTCTAAAAAAATTAGTTTTAGCTAGGGAGGTCAATTAAAATCATATTTGGTCAGTAGACATACCACCGAATTCCTACGCAGTTTCAAGAAAAAAATTCGAGTAGGTGTCGAAATTTTTCGGCAAAATTAAAATTTTCAAATCGTTCTGAAAAATTATTTTTAGCTAGGGAGATCAATTACAATCATATTTGGTCAGTAGACATACCACCGAATTCCTACGCAGTTTCAAGAAAAAAATTCGAGTAGGTGTCGAAATTTTTCGGCAAAATTAAAATTTTCAAATCGTTCTGAAAAATTATTTTTAGCTAGAGATGCCAATTACAATCATATTTTGTGAATACACATACCCTTGATATTCTACGCAGTTTCGAGAAAACAATTCTTTACCAAGAATATACGATTTAATCAAATTTTATAGGGGTTAGAAAGATTGAGCAGATATCAAATGACAAAATAGTTACTGTTTGTTGGCCATTTGTTACACGGTGGTGAGTGTAAAATAATAAATTATTCAGAATCGAGTATCCCTAATGACGAGTTCGATAATGGTGGGCATAAGTAGCTCGATATCTCGGGAGGGGTGGCAAAATCCGCAATCGAGCGCGATGCACGGTCCGAAGTCGAGAACGGAGGCTGAAGAGGATTCTCTGATCGCGTTACGCTCAGAAATTCACGTAATCTATTTCCTATAGAGCCGTGGAAGTTGCCTTCTGCTCCTCAATAGGGACTCGTTCCAAGCCGTGGAACAAACTTTACTCAAGCGCGGAGAAGTTTCTTCCGCTTTCTTCTCGGCATCCCTCGCCTCCTATTATGTTTCCTTTTATTCCCCCATTGTCGCGCTTTCGTGATTCGAATAATTATACAGGGTGTAGCCGAGTTAAACCACCAAACGGTCACAGCATGCACTTCGAATAAAAAGTAAGGCGAATTTCGGACATCGGGACATCAAATTACGTGTTTCTTATCGAAACCTCCTTCAAAGATAATATTGGTCTTAATTATTATTGTATCTCGTATCCTTTATTGTCGTTGAGAAATACTGAACTGGACGAAGCGTTTTCTTTTCGTTGGACTATTTCGTCGGTCCAGCGAAGCGGAAGTGTACATCTAAAAAGTGTAAAAAAACTACCGAACGTGACAGGAGACGCGTTAGGAGTACTGTTAGAGTTTGATTGTCGGTGACTCGGGGACGTCCCGTATAACGAATCAAATCCGACCGGACAGTGTCGTTGACGTGCTCCGTTCGTGGGAGGTCGAGGACTTCTGGAAAATAAATTGAAGGGATTGATCCGTCTCACCCTTCGCATCACGTCGGCCTCTTACCACCAGACATGGTAATTGAGTTCCCGCCTGTCTGCGAATCATACCTACGGCCTGATTGCGAGATTGCTTGACAAACGTTTCGTCGAAGCGCCCAGCTGCCTCGAATTGATCTTCGACCGTGAAATAGGGGTGTGGTCCGTTCGGGCTGCAAATAAACCACAATAATCTACGGATTCAACCGCTTTACACGATTCTCATCGAGACTCCCGGCCGTAGATCTGGTGCTCCTCTTATATTTCTATGATCTCGATCTTCTTTGTTCGACAAGAAAAATTTGAAACGAATCGTACAGCAATTTAATAGGTGACGTTCATTCGATCGGAACATATTTCACTCTGACGATCAATTTTTATTTAAACGAGCAACGGATGAACGAACACTTTATCTTTCGTTCTCTGTTAAAAATTTATATTCGAGTAGGAATTCCCATCCGGGTTACTTGGATCGTTCCACCGTTATTGAGTATTACTCGATGAAATAATAATTCGTTCCGTTTCTGTTTTGTTACGCAAGGTGGCTGGATTCAGCACGCGTAGGGTTTATAAGAAATATGCCTTCTTCGATTAAACAATGTTAGTCGTCGGATGAATGCTTAGCAACGTCAAAACTACATCTCCAACTTATTACTAATAGCAGCCAAGTTATGAAAATACGTGTCGGAAACGCCTTGGGAACCGGTTGAAACATAAATTGTATTTGTTACGAGAACGGAGGAGTTTCTACGTCTCTGGCTGGGGAGCGAATCCCAAACTTTATATTACCTAATATACTCCAGAACAGTTGACGTTTATACGTGGAAGTACATTCATATTCACAATCATCGTATCCAAGAGAGTTTGTAGATCGTTGCGTTGGGATCTTTGCGTACTTTTGGTTTTGCGTTTTATAGCGGCGCACTAACCCGTAAGATCCTGCTTCGGGATCCAACTTTATGGGATTGAAAGGGTTACGGCAATTGGCAGGAACATCTTTCAGTTATTCTTCCAACTTTTATAAACTCGGTGTTAAAAACGATCTTAAAAATACTTTTTTAGCTGCTCGTTCCAGCAGTGTATATCTTACAAACTTCAAAATTAAATCGCGTGCCAGTCACCGAAGCAGAGAATGAAATTCGTTTGGCTGTTGTCAGAGAAAAAGAACGGTCGAAAGTAATTTTTAACGTTACAAGTCGAAATCTCCCGCTGATAAAAGTTCCTCGCAAAACATTCCTACGTAATGGAAGCTCGCGGAATACCCAAACCGAAACGAAATAGACGTCGGGATCCTTCTAATCTCGACGTTTCGTACGCGTCACGGATTATGTAAAAAGTCCTGCAAATTAAACGACCAAAGCCGATGATGGGCGGCAGCTCGCGCTTTAATTAAGGCAGCTTTCCCAGAGTATGTACACTTTCGTTCAAAAGTTTAAGGATGCTCGCTAAAATTGCACACAGGCATCGTAGAAAAGTAGGAAACCGTTAAATAATTTAATTCCGTGCTATCTTGTTTCATGAATCTCGCGAAAAAAAGAAAATCATAAAATGTTCTCGACTGTACGGAGCGAGTGTCAGAGCTGGTTCTAAAAAATATGTTTTAGAGATACCTTAAAAGCAGCAAATATCCTAAGATTCTCGTTTGAACGGCGATATAGGTTGAATTTAACCTACGATTGGCCCATCGAAAGTCGAGATCCCTCTGTACGATTCTTTTTCGATTCGAACGTACACCGATATTACTACCACGGCCATCTGTCTCGAATCTCTTCTCGATATTTACACCAAAATATCTCTTGTCGTAGATAGCTTGCGCCCGAAGCTACACTTTTCTCGTTCCCGGACATTCGAGGATTTCATTTCCTGGCTATCGCTCCGGCGACATTACACGAAGACGACCTCACTCGAATTCTGGGTACTCTGAAGTAAATGGAACACGAATGCCGCGCGAAAGTCCCCAGGAAAAGAACTAGCAGACGCTACCCGTTATCGGAGCAGCTCGTATTTTCCCGGCGAATAGTTTCCACTTCGGTGGCGTAATGGGTATACTTTTCGCAGAGACCGTGAATCCTAATTATCGATGTTCTAAACGCTGCTGACTGGCGAAGGCCACGCCATAGTCGAGCATTTAACGAGCTCGTAACTTCTACTATCGAGGTAGCCCCAGTTCCCAACCGATCTAAACTGTTCTCCCGGCTTGGAAATTGTTGATATAAAGCAATCGAAGAATTGTCGCTGAAAC